ATACATACATACATACATATACATACATACATACATATCTATACATACATACATACATACATATATATACATACATACATATATATATGGTATTTTAAAATTATATGTTTTGTGTGATTTGTCTAAATTATTTTAAATTTAAACTTATAAAAGATATTTTTCATGTTAAAATATAATAATAATAATAATAATTCTTTTTAATATCATGTTATCATTAAAACTTTTAAATTTTGTGTTTTTTAAAATTTTTGGATCAATTAATTGTTTATTTATTTAATGAGTTAATTTATTTTAAGTTTATTATGAAATTGACATAGGAATTTTGTTTAGGGTCGTGAATGGCCTTAAAAAGGTTCTTGGGATCATTTAAATTTATTTTCAGTTATTTAATAATTTATATTATTTTATTTTATTTTTAATGCTTATGAAAACTTGCTTAAAAAATAAATACTCATTTGTCACACGAAAATAACATGCCCTACACTTTTCTTACAATTTAAGGTCAACTTTTATAACCGATGAATTAGAAACGCCAAACCTACAGAATGCATGAGTCATCTGAAAACAACGGACATGACACTTTTTCACCAAGAAAGTGATAGGTGCGATACTTTTCCAAGGTGTAAGTTGTCGCTATTACCAAACCTACAGAATGCACGAGTCCTCTGAAAACAACGGACATGACACTTTTTCACCAATAAAGTGACATGTGCGATACTTTTCCAAGGTGTAAGTTGTCGCTATTACCGACGGATCAACCAGGACGATTTGAAATTTTACCAAAAAAAAAAAAAAAAACTACAACATTAAATTGTCGGTCCGGCGGGGGGAGTTAAAACCGTCGGTCATGCGTGGGTAATTAAATCCCGTTGGGATTTCAGTCGTTTTTTAATTTACTGACAAGTGTTTTACGGATGATCTTAATATCGTTGATAAAAAGTCGGAAAAAACAAAAACAACGATTTTTCTCATCATAACCAATGAAATTTGTACATCCGAAAAAGCTTCGTAGAGTGTGATTGCTCTCTATTATATTAATCTATTTTATAACCTATATTTAAACATTTATATAATAATCTTTAAATAATGATAAAAAATTAACCAAACTATGAATGCAAAACAAACTATGATAAAATATATTTAAATTATAATCAAGTAATGTACATATCATGATCACATAAGAAACAAGCCACCACCATGGCCACAACAACAATAGGGCCGCTCATCCCTGTCGCAGCAAACCCTAGGTCCCAAAATGGAAGCCAACGGTTTCCCGCCGACCACCCAATCCTTTCATTCCTCGACGAACATAACACCCTCACCACCGCCGATCTCAAGAGAATCCATGCCCGCATGCTCCGCTTCGACCTCCTCCGCCATCCCTACGCTGCCAGCCGCCTCCTCACATCCTTCGCCCTCTCCCCCTCACGCAATCTCCCCTACGCCCTCCGGCTGTTCGATCAAATCCCTCATCCAAATCTATACTCCTGGAACATCCTCATCCGCTCCCTCGCCTCCAGCCCCCTCCCCTACCTCAGCCTCCATCTCTTCTCCCGCATGCTCACCTCCAGCCCTCACTCCCCCGATCGCTTCACCTTCCCTTTCGTAATCAAAGCTGCGGCAGAACTCGAGATGCTCGGAGAGGGTTCCGCACTCCATGGCCTGGTTATCAAATCCCCATTCCATTCTGACGTCTTCATACTCAATTCTCTAGTCCATTTCTATGCTGTTTGTGGGTGCTTAGATCTTTCACGCCAGGTGTTTGATTTTATTCCTCAGAAAGACGTTGTTTCCTGGAACTCCATGATCACGGCGCTGGTACGAGCTGACCGCTGCAACGATGCGTTGGAGCTTTTTAAGGCGATGGAGCAGAGCGGATTTGCCCCCAATGATGTCACAATGGTTAGTCTTCTTTCTGCTTGTGGGAAAAAAGGGAACTTGGAGCTCGGTTGGTGGATGCATTCTTATATCAAGCAGAATGGAATCAAACAGTGCTTAATACTTAACAATGCCATCCTCGACATGTACGCGAAGTGTGGGAGCTCTGCTGATGCAAGCTTGCTTTTTAACAGCATGAAGAAGAAGGATTCAATCTCCTGGACTACCATGCTGGTTGCTTATGCCAAATCTTTTGAATTCGATGCTGCTCGTCGTGTGTTTGATGAAATGCCGCACCGGGATACTGCCGTATGGAATGCGTTAATCTCTGGCTATGAACAGAATGGCAGACCCAAAGATGCTCTGGCCGCTTTCAACGAACTGCGGGATGTTGCTAAGCTCGAGCCTGACGAGCTCACATTCGTTGCAGCATTATCAGCATGCTCCCAGTTGTGTGCATTAGAATCTGGTAAACGCATTCACTCTCATCTCAAGAGCAATAGTTTTGTTCTAAACTATCATCTTGCTACAGCACTTATAGACATGTACTCAAAGTGTGGAGATTTGGAGAATGCGGTTGAGGTTTTCAGATCTGTCAATAAAAGAGATGTCTTTGTTTGGAGCTCTATGATTGCAGGGCTTGCGATGCACGGTAGGGGGATGGAAGCCATGGATTTGTTTAAAGAGATGCAGGTGGCTAAAGTCAAGCCCAATCATGTTACTTTCACCAACATCCTCAGCGCTTGTAGCCATGCCGGGCTGGTGGAAGAAGGAAGAATGTATTTCACCAAAATGCTTCCTTTATATGGGATTGCACCACAGATTGAGCATTATGGTTGCATGGCTGACATCCTAGGCCGCGCGGGGCGTTTGGAAGAAGCAAGGGAGCTGATAAAAAGCATGCCTTTTCAGCCCCCTGCTTCTGCATGGGGAGCACTGCTGGGAGCCTGTGTGGTGCATGGAGATGTATTACTGGGAGAGCTTGCCTGCCACAAGCTTCTTGAGCTTGAGCCGAGAAATGATGGAGCTTACGTTCTGCTTTCTAATCTATACGCAAAGGCTGGTAGATGGGAGGATGTTGGTAGACTGAGGAAGTCAATGAGGGATCAGGGATTGAAGAAGGAGCCTGGGTGTAGCTCAATGGAGGTGGATGGAGTGATCCATGAGTTCTTAGTGGGAGATGCATCGCATCCTTTGTCTGAAAGGATATATAAGAAGTTGGAGGAGATGACTGAGAGATTGAAGGCTGTGGGTTATGAAGCAAACAGGACGCAGCTGTTGCAGAATGTAGAAGATGAAGTTGGAAAGGAGCATGCTTTAAGTCTGCACAGTGAGAAGCTGGCGATTGCTTATGGGCTGATCAGTGTGAGGGAGACTATGGCTATTAGGATTAATAAGAACCTGAGGATATGTGAGGACTGCCACTCTGTTGGGAAGCTGATATCTGATGTTTACGGGAGGGAGATACTCATCAGGGATCGGTACAGGTTCCATCATTTTAAACAAGGAAGGTGTTCTTGTAAGGATTATTGGTAGGGCTGTCAAAACGGCTCGTTGTTCGCGAACAGCTCTTCTTCGGCTCGTTAAGAAGCTCGTGTTCGGCTCGTTCACTAAGTTAAAAAAATTAATCGACTACAAGGCTACAAAGATTTATAATCAATTAAAAGTATTAATGAAAAAAATAGAATAAAACTTATTAATTTAGATTCAAATGATGTTTTAAATCATGCCCCTATCCTTAACATCTTATGACTACGTGATTAGGGTTGTCAAAACGACTCTTTATTAGTGAACGACTCGTGTTCAGCTCGCTAAGCAAACAAGTCGAACATGAACACACTTTTTGAGCTCGAAATATAAACGCGCCAAACGAGCGGAACACGAGCGAGCCCAGCTCGGGTTCAGCTCGTTTACACCCCTAATTATTGGTAGGGCTGTGAAAGGATCAGATTTTTAGCTGTGCTCCAGGCTCACTAAAAATCGGCTCGAAAAAAATTCGATCCAAAATTTTTGCTCGTAGCAATAGGAGCCCAAATTAGAATCAATTTTCGAGTGATTAAAAATCTGAGCTAAATTCTGTAAATTCAGTCTTAATGCCACTAGTGTTGTTAATAATCTGATTTTGAGTTGAGCTGGGGTTGCCTTAAAATCGGCTCTGTATAATTTGAATCAATTTTCGAGCGAACGAGGGGCCCTAATCATTGGTGATGATGTGATAGGGTTTGTTATATGTAATTTAATGATATCTGAGAAGTTAATGTTATGTGTAATTAAATGATATAAAATAATACAAAATTCCTATGCATTTACATGAATGCCATACAATTACTAGGTATTTACACATCTAACAGCTAAAATTTGCCTTTTTTATATTTTTGCCACCCAAATATTTCATATCACATTGAAATTTCCACTATGTAAAGTTTTATAAATTTGATGTTTAGGTGTTGATATGTAAATATTAAAGTTTTAGAAAGTGAAATACAAATTTACATGCATAGTTGAGGCGTTATAAATTTGATGTTTAGGTGTTGATATGTAAATAAATGAGAATTGAGTGGTATGTATGTAAATCTTCCTCATAATTCAGTGGTATGTAAATACTCCTATTGGGGTGTTATAATCATTAATTAATTAATTTGTATCAGAGTGAGAAATCTTATTTTTATTGTAGCCATCTCATTAACAATTTCTCTAGCGGTTCATTGCCAAAAGGCCAGTCTTTGCAAGAGCCATCCGATACGCCATCACTAAATTTCCATTATCTGATATGAATTTCGAGATATGATATTGTTCTCAAATCAATCTTTTAAGCAGTAAAATGTTCAAAATTTAATTATGAGTCATATAGAGCTCTGATTTCAACAAACTTATAGTCAAACTGACTGGCTTAACGAGACAGACCCAATGATACAAAATGAGTCTAATACAAACCAAATCAAGCCCCGCTCGGGAAGTTAAATTGCTTTTGGAAGCTTTTCAGATGTATTTGGAAGGTCAAATGGATGCCGAATCTAGTGAGTTTATAGTCGAATTGAGTGTCTCGACAAGATAAATCCAATGATCCTAAAATCGCTCGATTTTGATATCATTAGAGCACTCAAATACCGATCAAATATCGTATGATCAAAAGAATCTCTCATAGCCGTCCGATCAAAGTGCATCATATTTCTGCACATTAATTGCCTAAAAGCTTTCTAAATACAACCCTCCTCCTTTCATTAAAGGGGTGGGGGAGGCTTCAAACCTAAAGAGAGAGCTTGAAGTTTGGAGCTATTAAATAAAGTTTGTTTACCATTAACACAATGACCTACCAGACGTGCCACTCAAAAATGCTTGTATCGGAGCCCCTCCTTTGTCATGACAGGATTTTGAACTCATAGACACCGCAAATTTCACTCATCCATCTCACGCAGCTCGCCTAACACCGTCACGCCTTGTTGTCACTCCAGATGATGTCATTCGTAACAAGCTACGATGCCTTGTCTGGGAAAATTTCCCCTGGAGAAGAAGGATCATTTCCCTCACTCACCGAACATCCATGAATCTTCTCTCTTAGCGGACACAGCCCTCCAAAGCCTTATCTCAATGGGTTTCAAGCTTCCGAGCATTAACACTTACGAAGGGAGAACTAAACTCTATGAACATATTGATCACTACCGAAATATCATGCACATTCAATTTGTCTCTGTTGCGCCTTCAAGCTTCCGAGCATTAACACTTACAAAGGGAGAACTAAACTTTATGAACATATTGATCACTACTGAAATATCATGCACATTCAATTTGTCTCTGTTGCGCTTGTGTGCTAAGTGTTTTCACCCACTCTTAAAGGGCAAGCTCACGTCTGGTTCTACTCTCTGTTAGAAGGCACTGTAAATACCTTTAACGAGCTTGTTAGACTATTTCCAAAGCATTTCATGACAAACTAATGAAACATCAATGATTCATCCTATTTCTCAAAACTTTGTTAAAGTGAAAGAAAGTCGCTCAATGACTACTTCTGCAGGTTTTCCGTTGAAGCCGTCAAATTTCGGGAGTAGATCCAGAGTTACTGAGAGGAGTCTTCCTTAGGAGGCTCTACCTAGGACCTTTCTACTCGTCACTGATGCGGGTGACAGTTGGTTCTTATGTTGACCTTGTCCACCATGTTGAGACCCAAATTACTTTGGATGAGGACATCACCACGAATAAGTAGCAAATTGAGAAATTTGGGGAAAGTGCAAGAGTAACTTCAGAGACTAATCAATCTTCGTAACGGACAAAATCCGAACAACAGAGGAATCATGACTTCCCTCCCCAATCAATTGGACAGCGAATTGAGTATTGACCTAAGAAAGATTATACACCACTTAACACATTATGTGTTAACATCCTAATGGCCATCAAAGTGAGGAAAATATTATGTGGCCTCACCCGCTAAAACCTAACTCGGGGAATCAGAAACAATATTGTCATTTCCATCAGAGTTGTGGTCACACCATTAAGACATGTAAGCAGTTCAAGGAAGAGATTGAAAGGTTGGTTCAACAGAGATATCTTGGTCGATTTGTGCAAAACAAAAAAGCCAGTATAAAAAATGCTCCCACTATAGGGCAACATACACAAAAGAAACAACATGGGTGGCACTCAATCGTGGGAAAAATTGTTGGAGTCCCACTGTTGATTGATCAAGTCCTTATCATGTTAGCGGTCGGCGGTGATCGGCGACCATTGATGGTGACAGGGTAGTGCTGGACATTAGCTCCTTCTCCAAGATTCTAATTCTTTCGCAACTCAAGCTCTCCTCCCCCCTCTTATGAGAGGGGTGGGGGTCTATTTATATAGTTTCAGGTGCAATTAATGCAGAATAACGAACCCCTTTGATCAGACGGCTCAGAGGGCTTCCATCGATTAGATGTCATTTGATGAATATTTGAGTGCCTTAATGATATCGGAATTGAGTGATCATAGGCTCGTTGGATTTTCCTTGTCGAGACTCTCCATTCAACTATTAACTCATTGGATTCAACATTGGTTTGATCCCCTGTCTGAAAAACTTCCAAATATAGTTTAATGGCTTGATCAGGGCTCGATTTGGTTCATATTAGATTAATATTGGTACCATTGAGTCCGTCTTATCGAGTCGATCAGTTTGACTATAGGTTTGTTGAAATCATACCATTGGATAATTTTTAATCAAAGTTTGAACATTTCTTGCCTAAAATGTTGCTTTAAGATTGATACGCCTAAAAATTACCTACTTTTTCATATATATTTTATGCTCAAATTTAATGATTTTTAAAGATATTACACTTTAAAAGAAGAGATATTACACTTTAAAAGATGATTTTTATTGATATTACACTTTAAAGGAAGGTATTTTGATTTTTTTGGTTTTAGGTACAAGAAATGGAATTTTGGAGAAAATAAAGTAAAAATGGTGTAATTTGAAGTAAAAATGAGCAAGAAAAAAAATTCCTACTTGGAACTTTCGATACATCTTTCTATGCTTAATCTACTTTACATTTCTCACAAAAAAATTCCGACTTTGAACATTTCGATACATCTTTCTATGCTTAATCTACTTTCTTTTCTCACATGTTTTTGAATTAAATTATACTTTAAAGAAATGTTATTTTCATGCTTATTTTGTAGGTACATCTGTCAGGAGCAAAACACAACTGAAATGGGCAAAACGGAGCTGAAATGGAGCTAAACGGAGCAAAATGGTAGAGTTGCTGCAGAGTGGCGTATGATGCACCAAAATCCAGAGAACTTGTGCATGATGCGCCAGAGACTACTTTTGGCGGATTAAGGCGGTTGAGGACAAATTTTGGGCGAATTTTCAAAGGGACACTTGTTTTAAACACCTCTTAGTGTGATTCAATGCATCTAAACACTTTGAAAGGTTCTTTTATGAAATGATATGTCTCTTAGATAATTGGACATGCCTTTTGAGTTCAAAAGAGTTGACTTTTGGATAGAATTTTGGAGGGAATTTTGAATTCTTTTTGGAGGGAGACCGTCTTTTATATTCTTTTTGGAGGGAGACAGCCTTTTATAAAAGAGAGGGAAGTCTAGGGTTTGAACATGAGTTTTGGGCGTGAGTTTTTGGTATGTGTGTGTGTGTGGCGTGAGAGAGAGAGAGAGGCAAGAGCTTGTAGATTTTCTTTAAGGATTGTAAGAGGAGAGGCAAGGTGAGAGATTTCTTCTTCATTACACTTCTAAGCTCTTCATTACACTTTTAAGAGAGAATTGAGGTGCTAAAAAAGAGAGAAAGACTTGAAGAGAACTTCTAGGGATGTGCTTAGGAAGGATTGTGAGATAAGTTGTGCTTTTTATTTCTTTTGTTTTGTAAACTTCTTTTTATTAATGAAATCTGTGTTTTGTCGTATCCTTCTCATGAATTCTGAGTAGTCTTCTTTATCCTTCTCCCTACTTTGAGATATGATTTTGTGAAGAATTGATTTTGCTTTATACGGTTTTAAATGTCAAAAATTTGTGATGATTTGAACTCAGATCTTCATTTACTTTTCGATTTGGCCAATTAAAATGTTAAAATGTGTTGAGAAACATATGTTCTGAAAGTGCTATGATTTCTACAACGTGGGGAGAATCACATTTGATTTTTTGGGAGAGTATTTCATCCATAAGGTTGAGTACAAATAAATGGGAAAATATACTTTGTTGGATGCAGAATTAGAGATTTTAAGGTAACAGATTAAAATCCCCAATTTAATTCAGTTGATTGGAAACTAATGTGAGGTTGTTAACCCTCAGGGGAGGGAGTTGTGGGAGCTCTAGAGTGGCCGGGGTGATCTTAACCACGAAATTAGGGACCAAACTCTAGATTAGTCAATGTTCTTTATGCACTCAGAAGAGGGTAAATAATATGATTGCTCTTATTTGGCACAAAATATTTTTATATTTTTTCATATGATTTTAATTTCTTCACAATCCATAAACTCATTGTAAAGGGGAAAGATGTATTCTTAAATTTCAACTCTTCGCTACAAAATTTTGTTTAGTCTTAGTAAATTTAACTTTGAAGTTTAGAAATTAGTTTAGTAAACTTTGTTCTTTTTGTTACATTTCTGTTATCATTCATTAAACCCATTTTAACTTATTCTTAAATTTGAACTCTTCGCTACAAAATTTTGTTTAGTCTTAGTAAATTTAACTTTGAAGTTTAGAAATTAGTTTAGTAAACTTTGTTCTTTTTGTTACATTTCTGTTATCATTCATTAAACCCATTTTAACTTGTTTTTCTTACTTTACTTTTTATAATTTGAATATTGTGATTTATGTTATTATCATAAGAATTTTTGTCTTCCAAACTAAAACTTGATAGTAGTAGACTATAAGTTGCCTAAGAGATTTCTTATTGCACTTCTTTATGGGATCGATATCGGGGTTTTAAAGAAATCTCTATATATTTTATAAATATTTTAATTTTGCACATTAACTACTTAATATAAACTGAGTCAAGTTTTTTGTCATATTTTTGAAAGTTAAATTACTGCGTAATTTTGGGATGGGTCAAGTTTTTGACACTGTTGCTGAGGATTTAAATTGACATAAAACATGCAGAAAAATAACACACACTAAGGGCTCATCAGAGATCCATGTCAAGCCTCGAGATTCTTATCGGATGATGAAGGTTTGTTGGAGGTGTATCACCGCAAATTTTAGATGATGTGCCGTTTGACTATCAAAATATTAGAACGTAGTTTTTTTTTTTTTTGTGCCAAAATACTATGATGTGGCATGATTTCACAACATTATCATACACCCATCATAAAGATAAATGGCATTAAATGACATTAAAATTTAGGAATTGAACTTCACACCTAATGTGAAGATTTATGAAGATTTAATTTAATTTCATTTTATTTCTTCATAAAGGAAGATCATGCTAGTATTGTTTTATCACAACAACACTTATGCACACTAGTAGACCATTTAAAAGTTTAGAGATAAAATGTGGTAGTTATTCTTCTGTATTTGGGCATGACCAGTCTCGATATATTATTTCCACTCTCTTCCATTTTGACTAGCCAAGCCTTCTATAAGTAGTTTAAGGTGGCAATGTAATGTCCCTATAGGTGCTAAAATATTGCACGATCATGGTCACTTTTATTAAGTATTTATTTGTAAGGGACACTCTTAGCACGATAGGTCTAAAACTATTAGTGACTTGTGAGGACCGCACCAAAGGCACATACCTTAAGAAAGCTATCCCATATGGATAAAGATTATCGATCTTGATGATCTTATCTAAGGCAACATATATTTTTAGATGGAACACTCCCACCAAAGAAAAAAAACATGGAGAATCCAATTAAGGAGCTAAAACAACATAAGCACACTTTCCTTTATGATTATAAGAAAAGGACTTTACTTTTGTGTCCCCTTCTTTCACTCTCTTATCTCCCTATTTCCAAAATTCTTAGAATGAACAGGAGATCATTATTTATTGAAAAAGGAAGAGGGTCATGCATGATAAGCTAGTTACATGTCTGCACAACATATGAGGCATAACTAGACAGTATGCTTGTCACTAAAAATAATTGTCTTGCGCAGGAACATGATTGTTGTTTGCATTATACAATGACATTAAATATGTGTTATATATGTTTGAAAACTAAGTAATAACCAATTGATCTGAATATTACATACCTAATTATAACAATTTAATTACTTTTGGTAAAGCTTGAAACTTCGATTTAATGAAGTAGATTTAAGCATGTTGAGATGGTTATGATGAGAGGACTTAGATTTATCAAGGTTGCATAAATGATTTGGACTATTTGAAAGGGACAAATGGAACTTGGATTGTTAAGAGGGATAATTAATCATTGAATTATTACCCTTAACCATGTCTAAGAGGGGCCAAGTGGGTTAAGTTTTTGATAAGGTAGAAAATGATTCCATGTAAAAAAAAAAATTTATGTAATTTGAGAGTTTTAGTCTCTCAAGGAGATGCCACCATAGAGGTATGAGTTATATGGCTTTTTAAAATGAAGTTTGGAAACTTTTTAAAAGTAAAATGTTCTTGCAAGTACTTGCTAAGAGAGCAAAATACTTAGCTAATTTGACTTAAAGGAATTGTGTGGGAGGCTATGTAGGTCATTTCACCCAAGCAAATTTGTTGTGTTAGAGTCAAAAGGGTGCTGAGCTAAGTTGGACATTATTCCCTAGCAAACTTACATGGTCGGAAGTTAGAATAGATGTTTATAAGGTCGTCATATCTAAGTAATTTTGTTATAATGTTAAGCTATTGTGGAGGTCAATAATTGGAGGTATCATATAACTTTCTCAACTAAAGTTCTTTTAGGGTTGTACTATATTGTTGTCTCAAGCATGGCTCCTTCAAGAATTATAAAAAAAGGTTCTTATACTATGAATCAATTTTATTAAGATAGTCTTGTTTCTATACTCTTTCATTTATGTTTTTATCAATATCTAATCTCAGGTTATTAATGATATACTATTTTAGTTTCATGGCCTGGATCAAAACTCAAATAATTCTCTTTATATGTAGTCAATTCCATGTATTGAAACCACGATATTACTAAAAATAGAGTATTTAGTTGTCTCAAACATAGATGGCATGGTGCACATTTATGGTATCTTTGTTAACAACACTCAAAAAAGAAATTAGGTCGGGTAACCATGATCTCAAGAAAACATATCATTTTTAATGAATCATATTTGATTTTATCATGGTCATATTTACTAAGAAAGATGTATAGTGTTATGGTATTTTTAATCTCCTTACAATGAAATTGGAGCAACTTGCTCCAATGATTTTGGGGTTTTCATATGAATCATTTTAGAGCTTATAAAGGAAAGGCTTAGAAACCATGATAATATAATTATACTAATTGATTTTATTATGAATACTGGTCAATCCCAAAAACTTTACCAATATATTTAATTCTTGTAAGTTAAAAGAATAAATTTTCAACAGATTATGGTATTAAGATCTTGTATATCCAATATTTCCATAAGAAAAAATGAGCAAATAAATGTTAGAAAGTCTCACCCACCTCTTGATAGCTTGGGAGTTATTCAATTATTTTTAAAAGCTGGTGAAATGAGTCAAAAATCTATATTTAAAATCATCAAAATAAGAAACACTCCTTAGAGGAAGTCAGAGAATAATGCCTTCATCAAGGTAATGCAAAGTAAGAGGCTTAAATATATCACTTTTAGAGGAAGCCAGAGATTAAATCATAATAATGTCTTCATTAAGGTAATGCAAAGTAAGAGGCTTAAATATATCACTAACAATAAGAAGAGAAAATCTCAGCTTAAAGTAAGTGATGCTTTTTGTGGGATTAAATCTTCCTTTGTACAAATCCATAACATCAAATTTAAATTTTCATGTGAATGAGCCTCCATAATTTAATTAAATAATATTTTTTTTAAAAAAATGAGCATCTATCATACTTGATTTAGTTGATGTGGGAAAGATTTTTTAATTATATTATCCTCTAAAAGACAATATTCATTAGCTTTCACTTGAATTTAATGCTTAATCAACACAACAAATTCTCATCCACAAGAGAAAAGAGAAGGATGAACAACTTGTGAAAAGATCTTAAAGATGTTGTGCATCATCTTCTTCAGATGATTCTCCATGTAATGCAACTACTCTGAGATCCTGAGACATTTGGTCGCTAGATGTGTTCAAGACTCTACTTACAATCAATTGGGTCACATAAGATTGTACATGGCATCAAAACAAACTAGAATAAAATTAAAAAATTCATTTTGTTCTCTTCATATTTATACATACACATACAGAACAAAAACATGATATGAATTCTCATTTTGCCATATCCATATATCCATAAAATGCAAGGTCTCATTTTATTGTTTAACTCAGTGGCAAATACATGTTAGCATCTAGATGCATTAACAAAAATATAATAAAACTTCTATTGATCTCTTAACGTGGTTGTACATACAAATGTTATAAATACATCTGACAAGTTGGTAAACAGCTACGTTTTCAATCGTAAGACCCTTCTGACCCGGGTTTAATTCCTACAATGACGAATTACACATATGGGAAGCAGTATTCTCAAATACAAACCTTCATATCTATATATATATAGTAGAAAGCTAATGTGGTAATAACTATTGCTGAATCAAATAATATTTTGAAATAAAAGTGCTTATAAGAAGAGAAAAAATGAGACGTATAACAAATAAACATATCCTAAATAATGACAATAAATTAAACAATTAATAATATAGATTACTCCACCAAAATAATCATACATAAAAAAATATACATATAAAATTTTTTAACATATCCAAAATAATTTTATATTAAAATAAACATAATACTACGCATAAAAAAATAAACATATAAAATTTTTTAACATATCCAACAAAATAATTTTATATTAAAATAAACATAATACTACATACATTTTAATTAAATAACCTGTATTTTTCATGCCTAATATTAAATTCATCAATATCCACTACAAACTATCTAGTATTTTGCTAACTAAACCTAAAATACACCACCTGATAACTTTTGGAGTGCTTGGCCACAAAGCGCACTACATATACCTTGGCCTTTTGACTCCAACGGTCGAAATTTGAATTAATTTCTCCCTAGGCTGTGGATTCACCTATCTAGGCTGCAGTTCAAATGTGCTTATTGGAGTACTGCCTCCTGCCTCTTCAGCTGTAGATATCAAGTCAGAAGCACTATTTGATTGGCTGTGATTGGGCAATTGAGATCTCTTCAGCTTACCGAGGATCCCTAAAGAACGGTTTGCATCTTTGACGATACCTGGCTGTTTCAGACTCTTGACATCCAGATCCATTTCGATGGACTGCAGCATTACAACCACCTCCTTCATATTGGGTCTCTGATGGGAAGTTGCTTGCGTGCAGAGCAGTGCCACCTTAATAAAGTGCTCAACTTCATCTTTGGGGTACTCAGCAAGCTTAGGATCTACTATATCCAACAATCTATCTTCATTCCGTAGCTCCCATGTCTGGAAAACACAATAATAGTCACTCAGATTAAGGCCAACTTAAAATTAACAATGTTGTCCGGGGAAATGTTTTTTAGTTTGAATAATTTGATTCAATGATTTATGTCATAATTTTTCGACAAATGTTTTACGCTGATTGTGGACGACCTAAAGCAACCCTACATTTTACACATCTGGGGCTTGGAACTCGGCAATGATTGTGGACGACCTAAAGCAACCCTACATTTTACACATATGGCGCTTGGAACTCGGCAATGATTGTGGACGACCTAAAGCAACCCTACATTTTACACATCTGGGGCTTGGAACTCGACAATGGCAGTGTTTTAGATTTGATTTATGCTAAGAAAGGTAAAGGTAGACTTGAAAAGATTTGAGTGTTGTATAAAAAATGATCTTAATTTATAAAAATTACATGAAAATGGACACAATGGATAAAAAGAATTCATAAAGCCAATTCCACATAGTGAGATAAAGGCTTGTGGTTGTTGCTGTTGTAAAATATTCTTATTAAATTTTGGCCATCATGAGTGGTTCTAAGCTGCTGCATTTGCCATGGAATGAGTATAATTTTAAGTGAATCAATCAAAATGTATATCATGCCCATGTCAAAGAAAATTCAAAGCCTTTTTGACATATATCCGGATAAAAACTATAGTCAGTTTCATTTTGTATATTTTGGCTTTAGACACTCGTTGGTTATTTATTTACCAAATTTGTAATTCTGGTTGTTAGGTGTTCCTGAAGACTGCAAAGAAAACAATATGCTATTTTGATGCAACTACTTTTCATGATTATTGGACAAACTGTTTGAAATGACCATCTAAGCAACACTAGATTGCATGAGGGAAACTAAGGCAAAAAAATAAGCATTTCATCAAGTGAGAAAATTTATGAAGCTAAATTCTGATTTAGTCAGTGCTCATGGAAAATAGCATAAAGTGACATGTAAGAGAATTACCCATTCCAATAGAACCTTCATGTCAAGTCCCCATACAGATCTTGCACTGCTTCTTCCACTAATAATTTCAAGCATGAGCACCCCAAAGCTATAGATGTCTGCTTTTTTGGTTAATTGTCCAAGTAAAGCGTACTCGGGCGCCATGTAACCCCTGCAAAAGTCGCATATTTAACGGATTAAATTTCATCAAGTTTATATAATATGTGTGCGCGAGCGCGCACGTGCTTGTGTTATTTGGAGGTCTTGATAACAAAAATAGTCAAATCTCTCCGCGATGTAAAGGTAATTCCATGTCAATCCCCATCCAGATTTCGCCCATTGTTATGGTAAAAATCATCCTGCTGTAATACTAAATACTAATCTATATGCTTGTTTCATTGTATAACATGTTGACAATATATTTACTTATCACACTTAAGCATTACATGTGAGATTATTCAAAAACTTCAGGAATCAACTATGATCATATTTCAAAATTTATAAAAGTAACATGCCAAAATTACTAATAACAAGAATTATTTTTATAGTAATTATAATAACAATAATGATAATAATGAGAAAGAAAGAGGGAATGAGAAAACCAAGATAAGTGTATCAACATTAAATTAAAAAAGGTACAAACTGAATTTTCACTGATCGATTTTCCTTTTTTTTTTATATTAAAATTGCATGCAATATAGTAACCATAACATTAATAAGAGTAACCTTAACCAAAAAGATTAAGGTACATTGGCTTGTCAATGCCTCCAAACACAACTTATGCATTTACGCCTAATGTTTGGAAAATGAAAGGGGGAAGTAGAATTCAAACTGCTGGAAATATAAAAAAAAGGTACATATCATTAAAAATAGCTAAAAGAACTATTATATATACATATATATATATATATAG